TCTACTATTATGTTAATATACAATATACTAATATACTAATACAATACTTTGTCTTTTTTTTTTTTTTTTTTTGGTTTTTCAAGACAAGGTTTCTCTGTGGCTTTGGAGCCTGTCCTGGAACTAGCTCTTGTAGACCAGGCTGGTCTCGAACTCACAGAAATCTGCCTGCCTCTGCCTCCCGAGTGCTGGGATTAAAGGTGTGCGCCACCACCGTCCAGCAATACTTTGTCTTTTTTGCTAACAGAACAATTACTTCCACCTTGTTCTCATGTAGCATTAGGAGCAGCGAGGCTGCGTCCCTGGCACCCGGCCGCCCACATGGCTAGCTTATGCCCCTAAATAATTACACGGAAACTGTATTCTTTTAAACACTGCCTGGCCCGTTATCTGTAGCCTCTTATTGGCTTGCTCTTACATATTAATCTAACCCATTTCTAATAATCTGTGTAGCCCACGAGCTGGCTTACCAGGAAAGATCTTAACCTGCATCTGCCTGGAGTGGGAGAATCATGGCGACTCCTCGACTCAGCTTCTTTCTCTCAGCATTCTGTTCTGTTTACTCCACCCACCTAAGGGTTGGCCTATCAAGGGGCCTAGGCAGTTTCTTTATTAATAAGAAATCACTCCCACATCATTCTCATTTAAATACTTTAGTGATTTTTTTTACTCTTTTCATTTTCATTTAAATTTTAGGATCCTTTTTCAAGTTCCTAAAAAACAACCAGCTAAAATTAGTTTTTTATTTTAAATTAAGATATAAGATAGGTAATTACATTATCTATCTGAAAGTATACTAATTTCAATATTTTCATATATACACAAACATGTTGCCAATCTTACATCAAAATGCAGGCTGTTCCCAGATTCCAGAAAGTTCCTCATAATTCATATATAGCCCCATCACACCGGAAGTCACTATTTCAACTTCTACTACCACTTGATCTGTTTCAGCTGTTCTTGGCTTTCCTATGAACAGGATCATATGGTGGTCAGTGTTCTTTCATGTCTGCCTTTTCCATTCAATAGAATCTTTGCGCTCGAACACATGTACATCACCCAGATGTACACTTTCCTGCCCCCAATCCACTTATACAATAAATAAATAGAAATACAATAAGACGATCTAGCTGAAAAAAGAAGCCAAGAGAATCTCTCATGAAAAACCATTTCCAACATTATCATTGCTTTTTTTGCATTCTTGTGGCAAAATACCCGACAAAAGCGACAAAGAAGGAGGAATCTGTTTTGGCTCACGGTTTGAGGGCACGGTCCACTACGGCAGGGACTTAAGGTCGTACCGTGTCTGCTGGCACACAGCTTACCGTCTCTATTTTTATTCAGTCAGGGACCCTACCATACAAGATGATATCACCCACATTTAGGGTAGGTCTTCCCTCTCCAGTTAAATCTCTCTGCAAATCCCCTCACTGGTATGTCCTTAGGGGTCAGTGTCCCGGGGATCCGGTTGAGACGGCAACACTCGGCATCCCAATCCAGACAACACGTTTGTACTGTATACAGGTATGCACTCGGCATCCCAATCCAGACAACACATTTGTACTGTATACAGGTATGCACTCGGCATCCCAATCCAGACAACACATTTGTACTGTATACAGGTATGCTACTGTCAAAAGTAAAAACTTTAAAGCATTCTCAGTGATCATCATCAGAAAAGTGCAAATGAACCCACAGTGGATACCATTACCCGCCTTCTAAAATACCCACAGTTATGAAGGAGACAGGATATTCTGGCAAAATTGTGGACAAACTGTCTCCCATAGCTGTAAGAATGCAAACTGGTACGATTTCTTTGGAAATCCAGTTTGGCACAAGCCATTTAAGTTAGAAATGCATCTAGCCTAGAGCCCTAAAATTGTGTCACTAACTGTATAGATGACAGAAATACACATACATATATATGTTAGTGGCATTTGCAATAATGCTCAAAAGAGTACAATGACCAAAAGACCCAAACTAGAAAAAAAAACTTAATGAATTTGCAACTTGAGGGAAAGTCATAAAATGGATAATTCTATAGCTATAAACAAATTTTTAAGATTTATTTATTTTTATTTTGCACATATGAATGCTTGCCTGCCTGTATGTGGGTGCACCACACACATGCCTGGTGCCCATGGAGGCAAGAAGATGGTGCCAGATGCCTTCGAGCTGTGAGCTGCCATGCTGGGAACTAAACGTGGGTCCTCTGAAAGAGCAGAAAGTGCTCCTAACCAGTGAGCCATCTCTCCAACTCCAGCATGGATAACATTTGTAAGCATAGTGCTAAGTGAAAAGCCAGAGGTGAGAGGATACTCTGAAAGGGGCTAGCTGAGCATCTGGTGCAGGAACATCATTCCGCTCCCGAGGCTTATGTAATGTTTGCCACCACGTTCACTTTGTGAGGATTCAGAGAGTTACAACATCTGTTCTGTTCATTTGCCCCTTTGTATACTATGTTCCAGGTTACAACTGTTTCCGGGGCTGGGTGTTGCACCCAAGGCCTTATAAAAGCTGATCAAGAGCTCTGCTGCCAAGCATATCCAAGAATTACTCTTTTTAAAGCGTAATCTATTTCTTTAAAAAGTGATTAAATAAAATGGTTTTGTGGAAGAGTTGGTAGGATGGGGTTGCATAGGATTTTAGATCTTAGACAAAGCTAGTATTTAAGTTGATGGTGTAATGTGAAATAATTGCCAGGACTCTAGATACGCACGCAGACAGGATCACTAGGAGCATCTTAGGAATCACATAAGGCCTAGGTCTTTACTGCGCCCCCTTCCCAGGGCTCTCTTTTCTGCTTATGCCTCCCACTCTCAGCCTGTTACAAAGAACGACGTCTCGCCCAGTTTCTCCTGTAACTGCCACCTATTCAAGTGTGCTTTAAAAACAGCCGTGTTTGTACAGACCTGCCTCTGACTCTACTTGATTTTCAGGAGCAAACATCTTTTCTCCTATTCACAAGGTAGTTAATGACCTAGAAACCAAAAGTTAACACGCATGCATTTTAATTGTCCTGTTAATCTACAGTTCACACCTCAAAGTTATTTTTTTTTCTTAAAGTGAGAGGCAGACAAGGAAAATATTAAAGGCATGTGAGAGCGACCAGAACTCCAGCTCCACTTCTCTTGCTCTAAAAGAACAACCTGCCCAAGCCTGTCTCCTCTCTTTGATACTCGGGTAATATAATTAATTCACAGGATTGTTGGCATTAAAAGAAGCAGCACATGTCAAAATCTTAGCGTAGCCTCTCCAGTGTCTGTGTGAAGAACCCACTAACTTCGCGGTATCAATACTATATATCACACCGTTGCTCTAGTTTCGTTTCAGCTTCTGAGACCAAGTACCCTGGCAAAAGCAGCTGGGAGGCATTATTTCAGCGTATGACTCAAGGCTCAGGTTCATCGCTGTGGGAAAACCAAGGCGGAAACTTCCACTGGCTAGTTACACCACATCCACAACCAAGAGATGTCCCCTTGCTTGTACCAGCTCAACTTCTACACTCTACACAGGGCAGCACCTTCTGCCTAGGGAAGAGTGTTGCCCATAATGGCTCCAGTCATTCACATCAACTAACATAAGGCAATCCCAGACAGATAGGCCCACAGGTCAACCCAAATGTAGACAATTCCCGATCGTGACTCTCTTCCCAGTTTGTGTGATGCTAGTTTGTGTCAAATCAACAAAGCTAAGATTCATGCCTAGAAAATATCTAGGCCTTAGAGTGGACTACGAAAACGTGCGATTTGGTGTGTGTTTGTGTTGTTGTTGTTGTTAGTACTTAAAGGCGAGAGTAGTGAGGTGCTATACTGGTTTGTTTTTTATTTGTTTAACTAGAAAATACAAAAACTCCTAGTCCAATAGGCTCCATAAGCTAAGATTTCAACATGATTAATGGTGACAATGGTGCAGTAATATAGATAAGTAATAGAAAATACCTATGTTATTATGTTACTTCACAGACCTTTGGAGGATACACTGGAGTTTACTTAGCCTGGGAAGGACAAGGACTGCCCTACCTTGAATTAACAGCTATGGTGGGAGGTTAGAATATAAGGTCCAGCACCACAAAAATACATAGAGATGCCAAGGAAGTGTCCAAAGGGGGTTCTGGACGACAAGCAAAAACAAGATATTAAACTCTACTTCAGTGTGAGGGAAACATCACTGAGTCTGAACCTAGTAAGTCCTAGGGCTTCCTCTGCCTTCTTGAGGATGACCCTTGCACTGGCAACCCACAAGAACCTCTAGAGAGGACCACCAGAAAGGGCAGGATCTGGCTGTCTCCCAGCCTCAACCCTAAGAAGACAGGGTGCAGACTATCGCCCAAGAAATGCCAGTTATGAATGTTAAGAAAGGGCCAGGTATATGTCCGCTTGAGATAGCCCTTTTTAGGCTATGGATGAGTCATATTTAAACAAAAATTCGTACAAGTTCTAACACGGATATAAAAATCATGTATTTAGAGTTTTCAGAAATTGCATATGACTTAGTAAGTGCTCGGGCGAGAAACACAATGATTATCTTAACAGGCAGATGTCAGAGAACTAAAAGCTGGAAAGGAACCCTAAGATGGAAAGTGAGTAGCTGCTAATTGCATTGCAACTTTCACTCTTAGGGCTGTAGAAACAAAGGGAGGACCTAAGGACTCTGTACTCAGTAAAGGAGCATCACAAAAAGAAGATTCGGACCCATGAGAACTGGGTCTGGACAACGAGGCAGATTCTTCGAGTACACAAAGAAGTTGGAAACTAGGACCAAAGCCTGCTGAAACTAAATTGCTTTTTGCTAGGATAAAGACCTGGAGAGGAATTACGAAGAAAACAACAAACGAACAGCAAACAAGTCCCGTTCTTCCTCCTCTAGTGCCCCCTACCGGTGGGACCTAGAGGCACAGCTGACACAGTGAACGGACTTTAATTTTCAGAAGCCATCTAATCAGACAATCCAACAGGAACTCTGTCTCTTTGAGACTGAAGAAAGCAGGGCTTTAAGACGCTCCGAAAATAGTGGCATTTCTAGCTACCTTCGCTACCAAAAAAGGGTTTGTTTGGTTTGGTTTGTTTCAATTGTTGAGCCTCCTTTCTTCCTAAGGGTAGCTGATGCAATTTTAAAGTCATTTCTCTTTATTTGTGGATTTGCGACAAGAAACTAAGGAGGAGAGAGAGAACGTGCCTGAAGCACAGGGTTAATTTGTTGGTTTTCATGTCGTGCTAAATATTTAAAACTACCTAGAAAGGACCGCTGGTGAGATTTGCTTTGTAGAGTTTTCTCACCTTTTCAAGCTTTGCCCTTTCTTTCTCTCTTAGTTGGGGGACCACCTCTCACAGGCTTGGGAGACTTCAGGCCAGTTGTTGGATTTTGTAAGGTTACCTCTGCTCTCGGTAAAGGGCAAAGACTCCTGACTTCTGGTGGCAGGGGTGGAAGGAAATCTCGAACAAGGCGACACGTTGAGAAATACCTATTGCACTCTTCCCGCATCTTCTTCCGGGATGAAATCTGACGTTTCAAGTGAGAGATAAGACTATGGTGTACCGGGGTGAGCCTTCACCTGTACCGATCTCTATCAGCCCTTGAAGCCTGTGGACTTGGAACTGAAACCCAGAAAGAAGTCCCCGCGCGCGGGAACACCCTGTGGGGAAAGCAACGTGTGAGCCCGGATTCTGGGCTCCATCGCCCTTGGTCCCGCCTGTAGCGTTCCCCGAGATGTGACCCCAGCTGATTGCCCATGCGCGCTCCCGGGACCCAGGCACCGGGTCGCCCGGCACTGCCGCGGCTGCTGCTCCCGCTGTTGTTGCTGCTGCTGGCCGCTTCGGGACGGGCAGGTAGGACGGTGGCGCCGCCGGGGCGGGGGCGAAGACCACGTGGCGGGAGCTGGAGGGACCCTCGCCGGGAGATTAACTCAGCCTCCCGTGCTCTCGGACTGGGCTCTGACTTGCTGGATCCGAGCTGGGGGTAGAGAAGTATAGAGGGGTCCATGAAGCCTTGACCATGACGCCGAGGGGCGGCTCGCACTAACGCCATGCTAGGTCCAAGACTCCCAGACAGAGCTGCCCCCGGAAGGTCAGGTCAGAGCTTGGAAAAAAAACAAAGATCGGCTCCAAAGGGAAAGCCACATTCTGCTCTTCTGGGAACAGTCTTCCCTCCGCAATCACGACATGTACAGATATGTTCTCTGAGTTTTCAGAAGTGGCAAAAGAAAACACTTTTTCAGAAGTGTTGTTTAAAAGTTTAAACCGTAACCGCTGTGATTGAGAACGATAACGATTTGCTAAAGAAGTTTTTTTTTCTGTATTTCTTTCATATAAAAACATACTTTAAAAAAAGCAAGATATCTCACACGTCCCCCCCCCTTAAGTTTTTAATTAAAGAAACAGCCACAAGGTTTCCCAAAGTATCGATTGCAGTTCACATAAAATTGACTCAGGCAGCTGTGCCAATTAGCCTTGCACTGAACAGCGAGTGGGGATGGCAGTTGTTCTTGAGACTGCAATCTGAGAAAACGGGAAGCGCAGCGTTGCTTCCAGAGACAAGAAACTTGCACGCTGGCCTCAGAGCGACCGCTGGATGGTCTATTCTAGACAAGAAGTTTCTTTGCTGATTTCTAAATTTATGAAAATATGTGATTGCATTTTAATAATTCCAGATAAGCAAATGTAAAGAGACTTAGTTCAAACATTGCTGATATAAATCTGTTTTTGGTTTTTAAAGCACAGTTGAAGTTTATTACAAAAGGTTTTAAGTAGAGGCATCAAGGGGAATGAGAGACTCTGTGTGTGTGTGACTGTGTGTGTGTGCATGCATGCATATACATATATATGTGTGAATGTACATATGTATATCTCTGTGCATGTATATATGAATGTACATATGTATATTGTGTGAATGATTAAGGGAAGATCTCCACATATAGTGCATGCAATAGAGCCAGCCTACTGAATTTGTTTGCTTTTAATCAGAGAAATAAAATTTGGTCAAAGAGAAGGACATTAGAAAGCAGTGATATTCCTAGCTTCAAAGCAAAATTTGCAAGCAAACACACACTCAGAGAAACATGCTTTTTGGTCCATGAGACCCAGAAACTTTCTCGGCGTTTAACATGGGACTGTCCTTCACTGACACTCTGAGGGTTACTAGGAAAACCAATTAAGAGGTAGATTAGTGACTAGATGCCACTCGTATACCTAACTGCTTAGGTGGTCGACAGGAATGTGGACTTATAAACGTTATATGAGAAGCCACTCATGGGCAGATAACACTTTAACTTTTTTAAACTTTTTCTTTTGCACAAAAGTTCAGAGTTACACAGCAGGATAAGGGTATATAATGCCAGAACACCCAAGAGAACTGAACAGCATCTCGTGCAGGGCCGACATTTTCTACAGATCTTGATGTTTTGTTTAAGGTGAACTATTACAGGAGTTCTGAGTGTCTCTGCTGTTCCCTAAGGCTGGTGTAACCTGGTTATTTACTCTCCGGGCTCTCTGGATAGAGGTTTTACCAGATAGTTTATCCCTATAGCCTATCAAACTGGGTCCTGTAGATAATCCTATGTCTTTATTGCTGTGTACCATTTCTGTATCTCAATGAGAATGAGGCGCTCCAGAATGATGTTTGACATAAAACAGAGTTTGTATATAATGGCCAGCATTATATAAACATACCTTAAGCCTATAAGAGACTACAAAAACAATAATTTCTGAGGACATGTCTCAATTCAAAATTCCTCAAAGGCTTCCAATGCTTTCGGAATTTTCTAAATCCCACAGTGTTCTGTGTGACCTGCTCCCTCCTCTTTCTCCAGCCTCTTCCGGTCTTTTCCCAGTTCCCAAAGCCAAATGTCCAGGATCCATACTTGCAGGCCCCTCTACTTGAATGCCCCTCCCTATCCATGTTGGCTAAACCTGCCCAGTCTGCCTGTCACCTCAATGTGACTCTCACAGGAAGGAAATCCCTTAGTCTCCAACGTGGAGACAGACTCCGCAGGACTCACTTGTCATCCTACCCAACTGCTACTTCTTTGAATCACCCTTTGCATCATGGGTCCAGGGTAATTGCTTACCTGTCTTCTTCTACCTGAGCACCTCTCACCACAGGAAACTCACTACCTGCACCCAGATCGCCAAGATGCCCCCCCCATAAACCACATAAAAGTTCCTTCCATAAACCACACCACACTTGCTTCTTGCTGTTTTCAACCATTGTGCGCATTTATTTTGAGCTGAAAAGGTTCACAGGATAAGGAAATTGAGTTCGGATCGGGATGTATCTGCGGCGAGTCAGCTTCTTCTTTATTCTCTGCTCACAGCCTCCTACATTGTATTTGTGCCCTGTCCCCTCTCTGTGCTATTTTCAGGATGTCTTCCAGCACAATGGTGACTTCTTGGGCTGCCTCCCTGTAGAGCCTGATGGACTGGCTCCCTTACTAAACATGGAAGCAAGATTGTCCTTGCATTTTCCGTCATTTCTAAGGCCTTCAAGGGCCCTCTTCTCATCTCTTTTGTCTTCTGTGAGACAAACTGTGACCAGATTCAGAATTTCTTACTAGCACAATTTCACTTGTCTGGCCAAGGCAGCTTCCTGCTTCCTCTTGGGGTATGGAGAAAGAAAGTATGGTTTGATGCCTTCTCTAGAATCACCGATATCTATGAGGGTGGGCTGTTAGTACAACCAAGGCGCTCTCCAGGAGAGGAAATTTTAATTGATTTTTAAACACTATCTGTACAGCATTCTCCCTGCTCTTTGAGGGTGGTGATCACACCCACCGAGGTGGCAACGTTCCTCACTCTGCCCACTACCTAATCTGATGCCCCGTCCGCTTGAACCAGAGTATGAAAACAAACACTCCATCTTGTCCGCACGTGTCCCAGACACGCTTCATTTCCTCACGGGCACATTCCAGCTTTTTCTTGGATGGGAGTCAGAGTCTCCCTCCACGCAGCTAAAGACCAAACATGTTTTGCTGACAATGGAGATTTTCGGCATTTGTTCACGCTTCCACCACTTAAACCTCCGCCGTCCATATGCGACCGTCCTTCCTACATTAGGCCCCGCCTTCTTACTTGCAGGTGGCCCAGCAGTTCTTACAGAATTCTCTTCAATAAGTTGGGTATTCCTTCTGAGGAAGAAGATAGCTGTGTTAATGTTTATAGGGCTGTCACAACAAAGTACCACAAACTAAGCAGATTCAAATCACGTAACTTTATTGCTTACAGTTATGGAGACTGGAAGTACGGTGCTAGGGGCTGGCACCTTCCTAAACAGGGGCTGGGGGTGGGCTCTGTTGCATGGCTCGCCCTCTGCTTTCAGCTGCTAACAGTATCTGGTGTGGCTACACCTGTAGGCATGCTGCTCCATCACTGCCCTGATCTCGTCTCCAAGTGGACACCTCTCTCTGTCCCTTCGCATAACCTTGAAGACTATGTGTGTCTGCCTCTTTGTTCAAGTCCCCCCCTTTTTTTTTAAAGGATTTCAACCCAGCCTGTTGACTGTAAAGGCCATGTTTTCAAATAAACGAAGATTGTGTGGTACTGGTGTTAGGGGCAGGAGTGGGGCATTAGAATTTCAGTTATTTCTCTTGGGCAGTACAATCCAACTCACAACTCTACCGCGCACTCGGAGGTGACAAGATGTGAGGGCTTGGCACGGCTTCTCCAGGGAGGTTTTTCCAGCTGCACACACAGCAGTCCTTCCTGTTCAGCACGCTAGTGGTCTGTGTCCACTACCGACGGGACGTTTCTGGAAGTGTCAGACCTGGAAGGCTGCACTGAAAACGCTGAGAGCAGATACGAGGTTTTCTCTTACGCTTTCCGTATCATAAACATGGAGGACAGCCGCCGCAGGCTCTCCACAAAGACTGGTAGTATTTAACCTCCTGCATCAGGGAAGCTCTCTCCTCAGACCTCTGCCTCCCATCTCTGCAGTTAACTGCTCCAAATATTTGGGAGGCGAAACGACCCGTTTTATTTCAGCTCAGCTCTCCCTCCAATATATTGCAAAGTGTCGGCTAAATTACTTCCTAAGTGTTCCTAAACATGGTATTATTTAAAAGAATAGTTCATAGACTTTAAGTGCACAGTCAAATTGCACAAGCAGGAAAATGAGAAATTGGTCAGATTGCACAAAATGAGATCTCATGTATCCACTTTGAGTTCCCCCAGGTTTAAATATATCCTTCCTCCACGTGATTTTTAATTAATCCCATTACCCACCCATTCACTCATTTAATGTCAATCATCTGTACACGTAGGAACTCTTCCAGGCTCCTAACTGAACAAGAAAAAGACCCCTTCTTCATGTGGTCTCCAGAGAAAGACAGGAAACTTAGGGAGCCAGTGCCAGAACCAAAGGGAAGAGTTTTCCTTAGACATGCAGAACAAGACAGTTCGTCTAGTCCAAGGGCAGCATTGGCCCCTGTGGGAAAAGCCTTAATATAATGTGGGGATGGGGCAGTTTGAATCTGAAATGTCTCACTCGTGTCTGGAATGTTCCTCCCAGGTTGTAGGCCTGCTCTAAGGGTCTTAGAGCCTTTATGATGTGGGCTCTGCTAGCAGAAGTAGATCATAGAGGTAGGCCACATGACTGTTCCTGGTTCTGGCCTGCAGTTTCCACTTCCGGGTTCATGCCAGGTGGGCAGCTGTCGCCTCAGGTTTCTGCCTCTACAGCAGAGCTGCCCCCAGCTCCTCCCTCCAGCCTTCCAAATTAGAGGTTTCTAATTGGACAGTCTCCGAGATCTTGACCTAAATAATGCCTTTCTCTCCTAACCTTTTCTGTCAGGCATTCCTGTCGCTGTGGTGCAAATGTAACTGAGAGAATGCACCACATC